TCCAATAAGACAGTGTGTCTAGGTCCTTTATTATCACTTCTAGGTGGACGAATGTATATAATGAGCTGGAGACCTTTTCCAGGTTCTTGCTTGTACCAGGGGAAGTAATCTGAGGTGCTGTCTGAATAGGTGCAGTTGAGGACAGCGCTGCTCCCCTCCTGGACGCTCAGGGTGGAAAGCTTCTGCTCCACTTTCTCGCCCTGGCTGAGCCCTAAGGAGAAAGAAAGAAAATGTCAGAGAAAGGAGAAATGTCAGATCATCCCGCCAAAGGATTTTCTTCAGCTAAAGAAGAGCTGAATAAAAACACCCTCTTCTTTGACATCAAATGAATATCCTCTATTTTACGCTGTTTCCCAAAATTCTTCAACTCACAGCCCCACTGCAGCCACAGCAGTATGAAGAATAGCTTCATCCTTCTCGTTTTTAAGATCAATTGAGAAGACATAGCAATCTCCAGCCAACAAGTTGCTTCTATTACCAAGTTATGACTGCTTCTCCTAACCATCAGAATGGTTTCTCACATTATCCACCCAGCCAGTAAGAGTGTTTATGCATTCCCCAATCTCTCAGAACCCACTGAAACGCGTCCTCCCATCGTCCACATCAGCGGGGGTGCACTGCCACCTAGCGGTCACGTCCTCAACTGCTGAACTTGCTGGTTAAGGCTCCCTTTCCCCAGAGCCTGTGAAGGACTAAGACACTTCAAGGCAGCAAAGTCACATCAATTAGGTCTCAGATGGAGATTTAATCTGAGAATGTTGAAGTTAACGTTTATGTCGCTCTACACTGCTGAGTAAGGTTGTGTATAAGTTGGAAAGAGTTGGATGCTGGACCTGTTTATTCAATGATGGGCTTGGTTTGCATGTGTGAAATCAGAACACCAAGATTCACTCTTTTCATTTTATGCATACAGACATGGGGTACACGCCAAACGTCCAGGGGCGGTGAGACGATTCACCAGAGACAGAGTGTGGGGAGCAGAACAGGCAGATCTACAAAGTACACTGCTGAGCGGAGCAGCTGGCGGGTCAGGAGCGATCTGCCGCGCCATGTGGATCTCCTCCAGGGCGGGGAATCGAACTCGCAACGAAGCGACGGAGGTTAGCTTGCAGTGCTACGCTCTAACCCGTTGCGCCACCAGGGAAGGTCCAGAATTCACCTTTTTTTTTTTTT